ATCTATCTATCTATCTGTCTGTCTGTCTGTCTGTCTGTCTGTCTGTCTGTCTGTCTGTCTGTCTGTCTGTCTGTCTGTCTGTCTGTCTGTCTGTCTGTCTGTCTGTCTGTCTGTCTGTCTGTCTGTCTGTCTGTCTGTCTGTCTGTCTATCTATCTGTCGTTATATCAGTCTAAGCAGGGTGAATCTGCCTTTAGCCACTACGCCCCTTGCTGCTGGAATCAGCTTCCAGAAATGATCAGATGTGCTCCAACATTAAGCACATTCAAATCAAGACTGAAAACACATCTGTTTAGCTGTGCCTTTACTGAATGAGCACTGTGCTGCGTCCGACAGATCGCACTATTATGTTTTTCGTTTTCTTTTTCATTCTTTTATAACCTATTTTAACTCATTTTAATTTGTTTTTATCTGTTTTTAATAATTTTTATTGTCTGCATTTTATTTTCCTAAACTTGTCTTTTTTATTCCTGTTTATGTAAAGCACTTTGAATTGCCACTGTGTATGAAATGTGCTATATAAATAAACTTGCCTTGCCTTGCCTTGCCTATATCGTTCTGTCTATCTATCTATCTATCTATCTATCTATCTATCTATCTATCTATCTATCTATCTATCTATCTATCTATCTATCGTTCTATCGTTCTATCGTTCTTTCTATCATTCTTTCTATCGTTCTATCTATCGTTCTATCCATCCATCCATCCGTCTATACACTCATCCATCCATCCATCCATCCATCCATCCAATCGTTCTATCATTCCGTCCCTCCGTCCATTCGTTTATCTATCTATCTATCTATCTATTTATCCGTCTATCCATCCATGCACTTATTTATACAAGTAAAACTGTATTTATATAAAACTGTGAAATCAGAGTGTGTTTGTTGTTGGTTCTGTTTTTCATCACGTTTTGGGGAAGTATAGCAATACCAGAAACCTTTTGACCTTGTGGGGACATTTTTTGCTGTTTCCTAAGAGGAAATGGCACATAAATCATCCAGAATTAAGTATTTTGAAAATGTAAAAGCGCAGAAATGTTTTCTTTGAGGTTTGGGTTACGGGGTGAATGCTGTCTGTACAGCAGGAGTGCCCAAACTCTGTCCTGCAAAGCCAGTCTCCCTCCAACCCTAGTCAGACACACTTGAGCCAGCCATTAAGCTCTTACTATGCTTTCTAGAATTATCCTGGCATGTGGGTTGAGGTAAGCGAGAGCTAAAGTCTTCATGACCAAGTTTGGGGACTGCTGATTTACAGTATAAAAAAAACACTGTGTCTATGGAAAGTCCCCATAAAACACGAAACCCAACATGTGTGTGCTTGTGTGTTTCAGGGCTCAGGAGACGTTTCTGCAGTGGGACCAATGCCGTCGCTTCTATAACTTCCTGATGGCCGACAACATGAAGAAGATAATTTTATCGCACAGGTACAGTAGATGTGTTCCTGCTGTCAGTGTGAGCACTGCGACATTTGCTGTGTTCAGACTAACTTACAGTAATGCCGTCTCTGTCTCCTAATAATGCAACAACAAGATTAATTCATTTAAGAGAACAGTAATCTAATAACCACTGAGTCAAGAAAGCATTGTGTTTTGTGTTCTTAAACAGGGGTGTTTTATTCGGCGTGGGCTCGAAAATGGTGGATTCGGAGCTGAGTCGACTTTACACCGCCACGTCACTCATGCAGATCGACGACAACATCATGAGGTCAGACCACACTAAATCATAACTATGATTCATTTTAGATTTTAATGGCTGTTCTCACAAGCTGTTTGTTGTTAGGCTTCATATTTCTAGTGTAAAGTGAGATTGTCAATTTGTTTGTAGAAAGTTCCACGGACACAACTCTCTGAAAGAGTACTACGAGAAGGAGAGCTGTGTGCACTACATTCACAATGTGAGTAGCACTGCCTAATGGAAGCCACTTCTGATGTGCATGTTTGCTGTTTTTTATACAGTTGAAGTCAGAATTATTAGCCCCCCTGAATTATTAGCCCCTGATTTATTTTATCTTTGCCATGATTAGGCTTGGGCGGTATCCAAATATTGATACCGTCAAACCTCCTCCCTATTTTACCCCGGTATCCGGTATTACTGTGCATAATTAAAAAGATGATGACGTAAGACTCAGACAGCGTCACCAAACTGTTGGCTTGTGTCTGAACCATTCAGAAACTAAACACTGTATATGCAACATTGGATTCGCAGTCACCTGTTTGTCACCTGTTGTTCGTATGGTTCTGCGCGGGATGCTCTCTCTCATGCATGCACACACACACACACATACACACAGAGAGAGAGACAGCACCAAGTGACGCATAGCACCACGCTCTCTCTCTCGATCTCACACACACACACACACACACACACACACACACACACACACACACAGAGAGAGAGAGCACAAAGCGACGCACAGCTCCTCTCTCTCTCTCTCTCTCTCTCTTTCTCTCTCTCTCTTTCTCTCTCTCTCTCTCTCTCTCTCTCAAGTTCAAGTTGCTTTATTGGCGTGACATTAAGTACAGTATTGCCAAAGCACTTCAAATATGAAACATACTAAAACCATTGAAAAATTAATAGTAATACAGATAAGATATAATGACACACACACAAAAAAACAATACATTTGATTAATATAATAATAATAATAAAAAGTTAAAATTATTTAAATAAGAAACATGAATTTACATTAACCATTTCTTATGGCGTGTAGGGTATATACGTATTTTGCAGCTAGTCTAAATGTCAATTCGTCCTCTCCGAGTATATGGTAAAGTTTTTCTGAGTCATGTAAATTAGAAAGAGAGCAAATAGCGACACGCAGCATGGCGCTCTTTCTCATTCTCACACACACACACACACACACACACACACACACACATATTAAAGAGCATCCACACGGATGCGAGCGTGCCCGCTCCCTTTCAACTTCACCAGTCACCATCCGCTACCGCGCTTTATTCTGAAGTTTATTCCCTTAAATCTGGTCAGCTCCTGCGGTATAGCAGCGGGAATTCAGACCTCTAGTTCATATTTACCACGTCTTCCTTCTCGTTCGGACTGCAGGTCACTTGGTGCGCGACTCGCCACCTTACCTCTCCCTCTTTCTCTCTCTCTCTCTCTCGCTCTCTCTCTCCTCTACACTGTCCTGTGATGACAATCACGCAGATGTGTTTGTAGGCATTAAATAAAGCATATTTAGTATTTAATACTTGTCTCCTATTTAAGTGCATTTTTTTTTATGACGTTTACGGTATTGAAACTGACACCGTTGCTATTTTTAGATCCCGCCGTATACCATAATACCGTATTACCGCCCAAGCCTAGCCATGATGCCAGTAAATAATGTTTGACTAGATATTTTTCATTACATTTAAAGGCCTAACTGTTAATAAGGTTAACTTGGCAAATAAGGGTAATTAGGCAAGTCATTGTGTAATGATGGTTTGTTCTGCAGACTATCACAAAAATATATAGCTTAAAGGGGCTAATAATATTCACCTTAAAATGTTTTCTTAAAAATTTAAAACTTTTTACTCTAACCGAAATAAAACAAATAAGACTTTCTCCAGAAGAAAAAAATATTATCAGACGTACTGTACTGTTTCCTTGCTCTGTTAAACATCATTTGGGAAATATTTTAAAAAAAAAGAAAAAAAAATACAAATGGGGGCTAATAATTCTGGCTGTTTTTTTTGTGCAGATAAATGTGCCTCTGCTGTTGGTGAACTCTGTTGATGATCCGCTCGTGCACAACTCTCTGCTCACTATTCCTCGCACACTCGCAGGTACAAACACTACAAACAAACCATTCGATGCTTAATGCTGTTTAAAAAGACATATTTAGTAGGTAAGCGTGGGAACCATATTTTATAGAGCGTGGTTTGTATTATATAGAAGGATTATTATTTGTTTTGTCCTCATCTGTTACATTTATACAGAAAATAGGAAGATGTAAATAATAAAATATATTATTTCAATTTTTATGTTTTTTTGTTTAGTTTGACAGTTTTACAATACATAACAATAATATATTGATAACAGCTTAAATGTTATTTTTTATTTTCATACGCAATTATTTTATTTTAGTAATTTTCCTGTTTTTAATGAACATTAAAACATTATTTAAATAGTTTTGCTTTAAGTAAAACACAGTAGTTAATTGCTTTATTTTATTATTTTTTACTAAATCAATTATCAAAAGTTTTTTATTTAAATTATTTTAGATTTTTGTTTTTGTTTTATCCACAGCTCGTACATTCATGTAGAAAAATTTGAGAGTAAGAAATATGATTATTATCCGCTTACTTTGTTAACTTTCAGTTTTAGCTGTATTAGCTTTTTCAGTTCACAAACATAAATTAAATAACTTTTATTTAATATGAAACAATTATTTCATTTTATTTTATTTTATTATATTTTATTAAACACAAGCAATATCTGCACATGATCCATATATCATTTTAATATTTTTGCCTGTGAATTGTGAAATGATTATTATCTGCTCAATTTGAGTTAACTTTGTTTTTTGTTTTAGTTTTAGATTTTTTGTTAACAATAGCTTTTTTTGTCAATTCCCATTTTAAGTTTTCATCTAAAATTGCATATAAATTGTTTTTATATAAATATATATTTACTTAAATTAATTAGTCATTTACTTAAAGTAAATGATTAATTTATTTGAATTATATTTCATTAAACGTCTGCACAAGATCTATAATACAAAACTGACCTGTGAACTTGTAGACATTAATTTAAGATTTAAATCAATTATCGACTTTTTTAATTAAAATAATTTTTGTCTTCTTTGTTTTAAATTAATTGGCTTTTAAATTAACGAACATTATTTCAATAGTTTTACTTTAAGTAAAGGAGAGTACTCCGTTGATTTTTATTTTGATTCATTTTATTATATTTTATTAAACACAAACAGCATCTGCAAATGATCCATTATTTTATTTTTATTTTCTTGAACTTGTAAATCGTATTTAAATCGTTTTACTTTAAATAAATTACAATATTTAATTGCAGATTTTTAAATGTTGTTTTGTTATTTCAACACGGCACTATAGCAGCATCTGCACATGATCCATTTATTTTTTTCTGGCCTGTGAACTTGCATTTAGGCAGTAAATATGAGAGCAAGAACTATGAGTATTATCTACTTAATTTCAGTTAACTTTTTGTCATTAGTTTTATATTTTCAGTTAACAATAACAATTTGTCAAAATTTCATCTAAAATTGTTAGTTAAGCTATGTTAGCCTTCTCAATTAACAAATAGTATTTAAATACTTTTACTTTAAATAAATTACATTATTTAATTGCAGATTTTTATTCTATTTTATTTTATTTTATTTTACAACTACAGCACTAGCAACAACTGCACATCTGTTATTGTTTTATGTTTCTTGCCTGTGAAGTTGTAGATATTCATTCAGATCTAAATCAATTATAAAAACTTTATTTTTCTGGCAGTTTTTTTTTTCTTGTCCACCTCATATTGTTTCTCTTTCCTCTTCCGCTCGCCTACATCCTGTTTTTTCTCTGATCTTTTATTAGATTATGACTCGCATCCCTAAAAAAAACTTGAATTACTCCACACAGATGTTTATGAGTGTTCATCTGTTGACATTCATCTAATCTTGTGTCATAAAGCAAACGATAAATAACTGTTGGTCCATGTGAAGGTGTCTGTTTAGTGTCAGGAAGTCAGCAGTGTTTTATTGTGCGCGCTGGAGGTTTACAGGGACAGTTTTTTTGTATAAAGACATGGCTATGATATACACTGTAAAAATGTAATGGCAAAAATTTAAGACAAAAAAAGGTAATGATTCGCACTCAATTGCTTTGTACTGTTTTTATTTTTCTTACATTTTTACGGGTGATAAAAGACAAACAGACGTTTCGGCACAAAGCCTTCCTCAGTGTGTGACATAATTCTTTAACTCCACCCTTTTATCTCATAGTTAATCACAATGTGCAATTAGTTAGACCGTCACTCTCATTTCATTATCCATTAATCACACAATAACTTTCAATCTTCACAGCAATAACAATAAACAATCTTCCTATTTCCGACCTCACTCTACAGAGATAAAGTGCATCAACTATTATCATTAATCAGGTGTACATCAATAGAATAAAAAACTAACAGTTAACATTAAAAAGTTAAGATAACAAATCCTTTTATGTTAACTTATTTCAATAAGTTAATCACGTTTCCACTAAATTTTTGGGATTCTATCATACACCTGGCGCAATAAGGCGCAAGACGTGAAGTTGATACTTTCAGACCAGTGCAACTGTAATTTTAACATTTTTTTTGCCACGTTGTTTAAATAGCAAATCCATTTGCACCACTTTGTGGACTCATGGGTTTGCTGGTCTATAAAGCAGGTGTGTTAAGGTGAATTGTTGGCGTGTTGCTAATTTAAGGAACTGAAACAGACTGTGCTATTGACCAACTAAAAGCTGCTCTAAAGTCCAGAGCTGTTAGTTATGCGCCTGTGCAGGTCCAAACGTTTACACACACACGATCTACAGTAATTCACAAATATCTTTACATATGAAAAAAATTAAGGATTAAATATTACAAAAATCATTATTTTCTACATAAATATAAAAACCACTACCTCCATGCCTTCATCTCGTTTTTTTTTTCAGTTTATTCATGACCATTTTCAATTGTATAATGTACTTAATATTAGTGGTAGTATTAATTATATGCATATTTATAATTGTTTTAATAAAAACAAGTTTAGATTTGTCCTTCTGTCGGGTTTTGGAGACGTATGGGTCATAAGAATAGGACATGTGTTTGGATACAACTCAGTTTTTTGACCACTCTACATTATTATTGTTCATTTATTGGTTTGCTGGAAGTTAGAACTGAATTCAGAAATAGTTTCTAAACAAATCTTTGCGCTTAAACTATATTAAATATGTAGGCTAATGGATGTCTTCAGTGGAGTAAGTTTCCACCGTGTCCATATCCACGAAAGTAAAGGAGTAAAGTAAAGAGTAAAAGTAAAGAGAAAGTAAAGAAGCCGAATGGAGGAGGCTTGTTCTTTATCCTCGCACTGCAGATTATCTGTTTGAATGTTTTCTCTCTAGTGAAGCGTTCAGTTTTTCCACTTATAAAGTCTGCCATGTAAAAAGCAAATGTGCCATGGCATGACGCAACTGACTCTTAAAGGGAATGGGTGATGAGACTCTTATTGGTTTAATGCACGTTATTTTTATAACACACCCATAATCCATTAAAGCTGATTTATACTTCTGTGTCAAGTGCACACGTATGATACTGCGCAGCCTACGCGTGGACGCATAGCCCTCGTCATGGCCATCGGCAACACTGATGAGCACCTCTCAAAAAATGCAACTACACATCGCAACGACGTGTAGCATAAGCTCTGTAATTGGTCGACTTGGTATTGCTGACGAGTGTGGGTGGAGATGAGAGCTGTGCGAGCCCGATGCAGCAACAGTTTACAAGTGTGAAGTCCTGTGTAGGAGCTCCGGATGGAGACTGTTGTTTTGTGTTTACCTTATGATTTAAAATGTTGCACGTCTGAGAATTCAAATGAGGGAGTTTGAGCCACTTGTACATTTAAGGTAGTGTTCAGAAAAAAGCAAAACACCAGCGCAGAAACTCGACACAGAGGAACATAAACACCTACCCTCAGCTAGCATTTCGGAAGAGTTATTGCAGAGCAACAGAAACAGTGCGCAGAAGTATAAATGCACGGCTACGCGCATTGCATGCGCCGTGGGTCACGCCGACCCAAATATATGTCAAATATAAATCAGGCTTTAGAGAATAAACACAACACTTCTAGAAAATGCACCGTGATGCAAAGTGTATTTTTTTTTTTGTCCTCAAAATAGCAAAAGTGTATTCAGACACACCCTTAATGCTTTTGCGCCATTCGCTTTAGACTTTGCGCCTAGATCATTAAAATAGAGCCCTTTATGCAAAGTTTAACTTAATCTTTATTTGTCAGTTTAATTGACGAGCTGGGATGACTAGAAAAGTTCATTTAGATTCAACTTCAAACTGTAAGCAGGTAGTTGTGCTGTATTAGGGTGGTTTACAATGTCATGCCTAATATCCTAGTAATTCAAAATGCTTCACATTAACATTTGATGGCCTCTTTTGACATTCAAATTTGGACACAGGTTTTCATCTGTCATTTTGTCTTCCATTCATTCATTCATTCATCCATTCATCCATCCATCCCTTGTCTTTTATCCATCTATCCATCCATTATTTTGTCTTCTATCCATCCTTTTGTCTTATTCATACATCCATCCTTGTCTTTTAATAATCCATCTATACTTGTCTCTTTCATCCATCCATCCATCCATCCATCCATTCATCCTTTTGACTTCCATTCATCATTTTTTTCTATCTGCCATCTATCCTTTTGTCCTTTATCCTTCCATCCATTCTTTTTTCTTCCTTCCATCCATCCATCATTTTCTTCTATCCTTTCCATCCATCCATCCATCCATCCATCCATCCATTCATCATCCATCCTTGTCTTCTATCCATCTATCCATGATTTTGTCTTCTATCAATTTATCCATCCATTTTTGTCTTTTATTTGTACATCCTTTTGTCTTTTATTAATGCATACATCCCTGTCTTTTAATAATATATTCATCCTTGTCTCTTTAATCCCTCCATCTTTTTCTTCTATCATCATCTATCGTTTTGTCTTCCATCCATCCATCCTTTTCTTGTATCATCCATCCAACCTTGTCTTCTATTCATCCCTATAGATCTATTGAGAATAGATAGAATATGTATATATATATAATTTATTTATGATTGTTTTTTTTTTCCAAAATGTTTTTTTAAAGGGACCCCTTTTGAAAATGTCAACACTAGCTGCCTGTACACACGCCTCCTGCCATGGATTCCCCATCCTCCATATTTGTTTTTTTGTTCACTTTTTGCAAATGTTGACTTTGTTGTGATTCTGAGTTTTCCTGGTTGATATTTGTCCTCTTCCAGAAAAGAAAGAGAACGTGGTCTTCGCTTTGACTCTCCACGGTGGGCATCTGGGCTTCTTCGAGGGTGCAGTTCTGTTTCCCCAGCCGCTCACCTGGATGGACAAGGTGATTGTGGATTACGCCACCGCCATGTGCCAGTGGGAGAAGCAGAAACCCCCCTGCCAAAGCAAAGATGCCCAGTCCAACCAAACCACATGCCAAGAAAACACATCCTAACCGGACCAGCTTCTGCAAGAGTTTTCTCTCCTTCCTCTTTTCTATCAAATGAGGGGAAACCCGACGACTTTCTAAAAGGGAGAAAAAGCAGAAAAGCCACTCGATGACCAAAAAAACCACACACTCTCTAATGTGTAGCGATGGGCAGCGTTTCACATTTACTGTAGTCTGTGGTGGTTTAGATCTTTGGTAAATGAGTTTATCACAAGATCTGGCAACAGGAGCTAAGCCAATCTCACAAAAACACAGGAGGAAAAAAAAAAGAAAAGAAAAAAAAAAGAGTATTTTTGGAGAAGATTGAAAGGAAATATTTTGCGTAGATAAATGTAAAGCGTATTTTTTGGGATCTAAAATTTTTTAGCATATAATATTAAGCACAATACACCTTAAATTAACAGTTTTCCATATTTTACACTTGAATTTTGGGATCTTGATCTTTCCCCCAACCGCTTTTCATGTTGGAAAGTTTGAAAAAGTGACTTTATTGACATTTTTAATAGTTTGAAGTGATACAATCTCTATTGGTGTTGTAAATTATGGTACACAAACCTGGTAACATGCCAGCACTTTTTTTAAAATCTACACTTAATTCTCTTGATTTTATTTCTTCTAAAATAAGAAATGTTTATGTCCATAAAAGTCACTTTTTCTAAACATCACGGTTCAGTTTTCAACATCAAATGTCGACAGCGCAAAGGTAAAAATCCCATAATGCAATTCATAACCGTGAATGAACAACAACAAAAAATGAATCATGAAGTATGGAATCTGTTAAAACATTATATTTTTTACAGTGGTGGTTTAATGGTCACTTTCAGACTTTTTTCTCGGTGCAAAAGAGTAAAACATGGGACTAATAACACTCATCTATAACTAAATACCAAAATACAAATTACAAAAGTACCAATTCAATGCAACAAATAATACTATGATTATAATTCAAAAAATAAATAATTAAAGTATTTATTTTTACTTTATTGCATAACAATATTACAATGCAACAATATATATATAAGCCTTGTTAAAATTAACATAACACAAAATTAAATGTTGCAAAAATAATTGCAAAAATCAAAAATAAAAATCATAATTATAAAAAAATCATGCAGAATAAAATATGTTTTTGGTATGTTAATGCTAATTTGGCACATTTTTTCTCCCAGTGATGTTTTACTGTATTGCATTGAATTTAATACCATAAATTAGCAGAAATTATATATTATTATTATTATTTAATATATTATTAGTATTATTATAGATTATATATATATATTGTGTGCAATGTTAATTAAATGTTAAAAAATAAGTCATTAAATATATAATTAGAAATTTTAAAATAAAAATCATCATTATAATTAAAGAAATAATGCAGAAAAAAAAAAAAAAATTGTTTTTGGTATCTTAATGCTTATTTGACATGTTTTTCCCCCTGTGATGTTTTACTGTATTGCATTGAATATAATACCATAAATTAGCTTAAATTAAAGCTAATTTAAGAGATCTCATCAAATACATAGAGAATGAGGCTAATTTATGATCATAATATCTGGATGTGTCAATGAAAATATTAAGTGATCCTTAACAACCGGCTCAGTTTTATTGGGATATAAATATGACCAATGCTTTTGTGAGATTGACTCGGCTGACTTGCTAAACCACACACGGCGAGCTTCACTGTACATAACTCGAGACTCTCAGAGAAGTGAATGTTATGCAGGCACTGTGTGCTTATGAATATGACCGACACGCCGTCTTGACTTTCCATCACTATCTGGTCTGGTTTAAGCACAGTCCGAACCGTTTTAAAACCAACTAGACCTTTTCCAGTCCACTATACTGTAATACGACATTAAAACAAAACTCGTTTTTCAATCCACGTCACCTTCATTGTAGATTCAGGGTTTTTTTGTTGTTGAGCACTTTCATGTAACATTTGCCATATGATGCATTGTTATAATTAAAAAAAAAAAAAAAAACTAGGAAAAAAAGAGGAAATCGGCAGCAAAATGATCCCTCTTTTGATCATCCTGTAATTTACGGGATGTCCCATTAAGAGCACTACGAGTTTGTTTCTGCAGTATTGACTGTGTTTGTGGACCTCGTGTTGATTTGGGACCCGGTGGGAGACAATAGTGCATTTATTTTCATATTTTTTAGGCGCTTGTCTCTGAAAACTGGTTACTTGAGAGATTTGAGTTGTTGTTTTTTTGCGTTATATACTTCCGTTTTCATGTTTTGTGCAATTGTTATGGGTTTCTTTAGTCTTGGATTCAGGAGATTTTTTTTGTTGTTGTCTTCTGGAATATTTCGTTGTTGAGGGGAAATATGAGTAAATTTGAAGGGAACTTTAGGACTTGTGTTTCCAAAGAGCTGTACTGGAGATTCTCACAGTGGTTAAGTGGTTTATTTCAGGGAAGCCATGCAGCATATAAAGGGTAATCTCACATGATGTCCAAGTTATCTTTCCTTTTGCTTCGAGTAAATTGTCTTTATTAAAATTGTTGCAGTTATTTTCGTGAAAGTAAGCACTTTTTAAAGCACTTTTGCAATATTTCTCTTTAAAACAATTAGAAACTCTATTTAAAATAATCATTTTGTCAGCAAGATTATTTCTTTGAGTTTTTAGTATTTTAAAAAGATTTTCCATTATTATTATTATTATTATTATTATTATTATTATTATTATTGTGTTTTTTTTCTTACAGTAAAAACAATATTTTTTAAATTGGGACTTTTTGACTTTTGGTTTTGTTTAGCGTTTTGTTTTTTTGTTTTGTTTGTTTGTTTTTGTGTAGTTTTTTTTTTTTTTTAATGTTTTTTTTTTGTTTTGGTTTTGTTAAGCGTTTTGTTTAGTGTTTTGTTTGTTTTTTTAGTGTTTTTTTTGTGTTGTTTTTTTAGTTTTGTTTTGTGTTTTGTTTAGTGTTTTGTTTTGTGTTGTTTTTTTAGTTTTGCTTTAGTGTTTTTTTTTCTTTCGTTTTTTGCATTGTTTTTGTTTCATGTTTTGCTTTTTTGTTTTGTTTAGTTTTTTGTGTATTTTGTTTTGCTTTTTGTTTAGTGTTTAGTTTTTTCTTTTGTTTTTGTTTTTTGTTTAGTTTTTTGTTTTTGTTCAGTTTTTTGTTTTGTTGTTTTTTTGTTTTATTTAGTTTTTTTGTGTTGCGTTTTGTGTGTTTAGTTTTTTATGTTATTTGTTTTTGTTTTGTTTTTGTGTTGTTTTTATTTTGTTTTGTTTTACATTTTTTTCCCTTTTATTCAGTGTAACAGTATTTATCTTTAGTATTTGTTTATTTAGTTTGTATGTATATGTATATATGTATATGTGTGTGTGTGTGTGTGTGTGTGTGTGTGTGTGTGTGTGTGTGTGTGTGTGTGTGTGTGTGTATATATGTATGTATGTATATATATATATATATATATATATATATATATGGATGCAAAAGTATCTAAATGCCATCAGAAACCTTCCTAAATGATGAAAATATTTCAAATATTTTCACTGTTATGATGTTGAATAGGTTATTTTCATTGCCTTTAAAGTCAAATAACAGCATATAAACATAGAAGTCTGAGAAAATGCTTCAGATTTCAGATGGCATTTAGAGGTTTATATACAGTATATATATATATAACTGAGAGTGAAATATAATTGTATTTTATTTGGGTTGAAATATAACTTGGACATTTCTTGGTGGTGTGTTGTGAGATTGCATCTTTATTATCATCATGCTGGCGCTGAATATTAAGAGTTGTGTATAAAAAAAAAAGAATCCAAGGGAAAACTCAAAAGACCAAAAGAGCAGTCAGATAACCTGTGTAATGTTCAGTCTATTGTTTTTCATTAACAGTTTATCACTGATTTCCAGAAGCCCTTAGTTAGTTAAACATTGTGCATTTCTAACACGCGTAACTGCCTTCATTATTAATGTTTATTAGTCAACAGTAATGCTTTTTAAAGGAGAAATTGTCAACAGCACATTCAGTGTTAGAAGCGTCAAAAAACAATTAGCAGTTGAACAGCGCCTCCTGTAGACGATCAGGCATAATGACAGTCAAATTAATATAATAACATCCAGCGATTTATTTTTATTTTTTTTTTGGTTAGACTGAGAGATTTACTTAATGATTTATCTGTCTCTGTATTGGGTGTTGTTTTACCTCTTGAATCTCGTGTCCTAAAAGTTAGTCTGACGGGATCTGGTTTGGCCTTTTTTACACCAGCACAAAGTCGATCTCTGCTGTAACTTCATCCAGTTTGCCTTTCACAACGTCTCCCACTTACTTTAATGTATTTTTTATTTTTTGCACAGAAAACACTGCTTATGTTATTTGTTTTGTATTTGTCATTATTTTTGTTCTCTCGTATGTACAGAAAGATATGCTAGTTTGAATGTTTGCGTCATATCACCACATCTTATAACAGATAAATGGTTAAATGTGTTTAATTGTAACATGGTGATGGTTTATTATGAAAACCAGGGAACAGCTACTTGTTTGACGATCAGCAATAATGCTTTTTCTCCTTTTCTCCAGCCAAACCAAGACAGATAAGTTAAAGAAAGCATCGTGTCAAATGGAGTTTAGAGAAACTGCTTTCACGCTGCAGTCCTATGTAGGAATCAGAAAACGAAAGGCCATATATCTAAAAAATAAAATAAAAAAGACAAGAATAGTCTATTTGCAGAATAGAGAGGAGATAATTGGCTCTGTTTTCAGGTTGACACTGCCCAACGTCACTGTAATCACACATTTAAAGGATTATTTCAGTCTAAAAATCACTTCCATTCCTATTTCTCATCAGTTTATTGTGTTTGATGGCTGGTTGTTGAATGTGTCTTTTTATTTTTTTCACGACCTCAAAACCCCATGCAGCATAATATCTCAATCACTGGTGTGTTTCTGATTTGCAAAACCAATGGTGTGTGATTGAATAATTTATTATTACCAGAATGGTTATAGTGTTCCAGAAATAAATTATTTTCTTGTTTAAAAAGCAAACTTGCTCTTTTGTGATTATTTTTTTCTCCAGTGGAAATTGTTCCACATCTTAATTTTATTTGGGGTTTTTGCCTTAATATTGAGTAGTTTGAATTGCAGTTTCCACCACAGTTAAGTAGCTGTTTCCATCCTAAAGGCTGATTTATACTTCTGTGTCAAGCGCACACGTATGCTCCGGTGCAGCCTTCACGCGGTTGCATAGCCCTCATCGTGGCTGACACAGATGCTCACGTGTACCTCATAAAAAAATTACACGTTATATTATTTATTTATTGTATTTTATTAACGTCTATTCCAACCCTAAACCAACCGTTACAGTAATGTAAAAATAGTTGTACCGAGTTTTATTTATTATCTATTAAATTACCTAATAAATTGTATTTTTTAACACCTACTCCCAACCCTTGACAGAACCGTCACAATACTGTAAAAATATTAACTATTGTTATACGGTGTCATTAAAAAATGGTGCTATATTAATCTGCATATTTCCGCGTATGTCTTCCTTCGTATTCAGCATATACGGCCACATATCCAATCTAGAATTTACCTTGCAACAACGCATAGCGCAAGCTCTGTGATTAGACGGCTTGGTATTCATGACCAGTGTGGGCGGGACCGAGAGCCACCCAAACCCGATGAAGCGAGTGTTTACAAGTGTCGAGTCTCGTGTAGGAGCTCCAGATGGAAACTTTTGTTCTATGTTTACCTTATGATTAAAGTTGCTGCATGTCTGAATGAGCGAGTTTGAGCCACATATACGTTAAGGTAGTGTTCAGAAAAAATCAAAACACCAGCGAAGAAACTCTACACAGAGGAACATGAACAGCTACCGCCAGCTAGCGTTTCGGAAGAGTTATTGCAGAGCAACATAAACAGCACACAGAAGTATAAATGCCCAACAACACTCAAGGGTCACGCCGATCAGTCGAAGCAGAAGTATAAAACAGCCTCAAAAATGCTTATTAAACTGCAATATTAACATTTGTGAATAAAAGCACTGTTTCATTTCAAAGAGTCAAAAAGAACAAAATAGTCACTTCCTAATAAACTGGGATCAAATATTAAAAAGAAAAGATGCTCGAGACTTCTTTGATGACAAGCTTCTTTGATGACAGACTATGACTGAGGGATTTTATAGTGACCGAAATAACATTTCAAGATGATTTACCTTGACTATGTCCACTGGTTCGTACATTATCGCTGTACAATTGCACCTATTTTTGTTATAATGTGAACTGTTAAAATAAAATTGCTTGTTTCCATCAAAGTTTATGCATACTTGTCGGCGCCAATGGTGTAGTGGTTAGAGCATCGACATTCGACATATGCACGACCCAAGTTTGATTCCCTCCTCAAGGTCCTATGTGATCCTTCCCCTCTCTCTGCTCTCCACGCTTTCTTTGACGAATGACGATACTCTTTACTGTCCTAACCATTATAGGTGAAAACCCAGAAACATTATTAATAAAAAAAAAAGTTTTATTCACATTTTTTTTTCTTATTGGATAAAAAGTTTATCCTACTCCATGGAGGACCTTTTTTTTGTTTGTTTCTTTTGCAAATTTTGCCATTAACATTAAGCATTTTTATATGATATTATGAAATCACATACAAACAGGGTGATGGAAACAGTTAGTCAGTGTAGTGGTTGCTCAAAACCCTGATACTTCAAACAAACTGAAATTACATAATTTTTAACAAAAAAAGAAAGAAAGGGTGAAATACATTTCTGTAACACTTTATTTAAGTTCCAATACTCCTATTTAGCTAGTGGCTTATTACCTGTCTATTAATATGATATTTACTGTTTGTTTGTTCCATTAAGTACATATTCTGCATGATCTTAATGTACGTCCCTAATACTCAAACCCAACTACCTTATCTATTAATCTGCAGCAAATTAGAAGTTTGAGGCCAAAGTCCAACCCGGGCTCATTACGGATACGTACCCCAGTATACATCTCTGGAGAGTGCGAAATACGTCCCAGGAGTCTGTTTTTTTTTTTTTTTTTTTTTTTGCAGTTTTTGTTTTTCGCAAATCTGCCAAAGGCTGCTGAGTACGCTTTTTCATCTCTCAAATTTCTCTTGCAAGTGCCATTCTATCCACGAGAGTGAAAGTAGATAATAAGAGGCCTTCTCTCTCATTCCCACGCTGCAGATGCTCTGTTTAACTGTTTTCTTGCTAGTGAAACACTCAGTTTTTCCATTTACAAAGCCATTATGTAAATAGCAAATGCACCATGGCGCGACGCAACTGGCTCTTAAAGGGAATGGGAGATGAGACTCTGATTGGTTTATTCTCAAAACACACCTATAACTCATTAAGAAAATAAGCTCAACCCTTTTAGACCATGCACCACGGCACAAAGTGGATTTTTCCGTACTTATATTGGCAAAAGTGGATTCTGACACGCCCCTAATGCGTTTGCGCCCTGCATTTTGCACTTTGCGCATGGATCACCAACATAGAGCCCAAAATGTCAGAGATGAAAGATTTTGTTTTCTAAAGGTGGTTTGTGAAGCCCACTCACCGGTGTGAGGCATGCTCAGTTTAGGGTTGTTGTGTGGTGAGTAGAGGTGTGAACCTATACTGGTCTCACGGTTCGGTTCGGTTACGATTATCATGCCATCGATTCGGTTCAATATGATATCTCGGTGCATCACGGTGCATTGACGATGCTTTCCATATACAGTATTATATTTTAGGGGGGAGGCTATAACATGCTGTCTGTATAAACACACAGACACACAGCAACACACTGTCTCTCATTCAAACACATTCACAAACATAGACAGCATCAAACAAACACACACACGCACACACACAAACAAACACACTTAAGCCCTCGCAACAGGGAGAGCTCGCGCTGAGCGGAGCAGAAAAACGAAAAAAAAAACGAAAAAAATAAGCACTTTTCTGACGGTCCCTTACGGTCCTCTCAGCGCAAGCTCAGCTGGCTAAAGTAAACGCAGACTGCGAGGGCTTAAACGGAGCAGTGCTCGTAATGTCGAACGAAAAAAGAAAGACAGCTGTGAAACATAACCAGCTTTGTCTTTCTGTAGGAAACACACTTTAGATCTTTTTAGGGTAAGCGTTTTTTGAGTTATTGCCGTCTATATCTGAATGTGTGTCAGGAAAATCAAAAACAAAACCAACTGAAGCGCGCTCATTTCTGGCGCCCCACTGGATATACAGCACTCTAAGCATTTGCCTATAGTGCCTATGCCACGGGCCGGCCCTGAGTTGGCTGAGTGTTGTAAATAACGGCGCTCACCTCCCTCGCAACAGAGCGCATAGGAGATAAAAGACGTCACTACATAATAACCGGTTATGGTTATTACTGAATCGATACTGAATTATCCACGTCTGCATTGCGGTGCACCGAAGAAACAATTAATTTTGACACCCCTAGTGGTGGGGTTTGGGAATAAACATCAGTGCATAGTGCTCATAAACGTGCACAATATACTGACACTGAGGAGAAGAAACTGTTGAATATATTTTTGTTTTTTATTTTTATGTGCACACCAAAGTATTCTCATGTCTTGAAAAAAATAACAACTGAAGGCATATTGTCTGTTTTGAGGATTTTTTTTGGTATTTTTCTGGACGTTGAACAAGTCGGGAGGATAAACGAGCTCCGATTTCACCTAAAACATCTTAACTTATGAAGATGAACCAAGGAATCAGGGGTTTGGAATGACATGATGGTGAGTAATTTTAAGTTTTGGGGGAACTAACCCCTTAACTCCCACTGTTAATCAGTTAGATGTGTACTTGAATTTTTGTTGTTTTTTATGGAAACGCTGTACTTTAGTATGAATATTGAATATGAGACCTACAAAATGATGAACCATTTGGCCATTTTATTGAAAATATCAATTAGACTTGACAGGCTGGAAAACCAACATGGGTTAAAACGACGTCCACAACATCTACTTCACACAACATTCAGTCTAAAACTTTTTCCTTGGTTAAGGCTTGTAATCAAGTTTATGCATTTAATTCTCTACTACACTTATTTTGAACACATGACTAGTACAAAACACTATATAAACTCGACCACCATTTTCAAGGCAGAGAATGAAAAACTCTTCAGCAAAGTTTCTTTTAAAAAACAATAACAGTAAGAATTGTAAGTATCGGCAAGTGAAATGTGCAATATTTCATCTCTACGATACTGTTCTGCGATCTGCTCATAATACTTTCATGGTAATAAGGCAGTTAAAAATGTTAAACTATACATCTGTAAGGCTTTAATTTATATAGTTTCTATTAAACGTCTGGATCATACGTTCATCAAAATACTTGTGTTGTGTGGGTCATTTAAAGGGCTGTGTCTTCAGATCCGAACAGTTTGATGGCTGTTTCTCTGCCGTCACAAGCGGGACCCGTTCCATCGAAATCTGGAGGAAGGATTTCAGCTCCGAAGTCCCGCAAGTAGCCATCTAGCTCATCTCCATGAACAAAAACCTAGCGGATTAACATCAAGAAAGTGGTGCATATCTTTAGTTGTGTCATTTCAATATGGTGTTCATTTTCTTGTTAGCTTAGTCCCTTTAATAATCCAGGGTCGCCACAGCAGAATGAACCGCCAACTTATCCAGCAAGTTTTTACGCAGCGGATGCCCTTCCAGCCGCAACCCAGTACTGGGAAATTCAATATGATGTGATTATATTCAACGTACACTGTAAAACCCAACAGTCAACTTTATCAAATGAAATGAGTGTAGTTAACTCAAAATTGACTGAAAGGTAATTCTACTCATTTGAAAAGAGTTTTGAACTCAGTGTTGAAGGTAATGAGTTAATTAAATACCTCATTACTTCAACCTAAATGGAGTAAGTTCACAGTACTCATATAGATTAGTTTTTGTTTTTTTAACTCAAATGGTGTGTGGCAATCAGTTTCCTCAAAGAGTTTGAGTTGCCTTAACTTATTGAGTTTTACAGTACTCAACTGGTTTGAGTTCTCTTCATTTATTGGGTTTTACTGTGCTCAAATTGCTTCATTTACTCAAATGAATTAAGTTCACAGCACTCATTAGGATTAGTTGTGGAACTTAAATGGTTTGTTGCAATCATTTTCCTCTAATGGTTTGAGTTACCTTAACCTCTTGGGTTTTACAGTGTAGAAGAAACTGGTTTCAAATCAATCCAGAGAAATCAATAACAAGGTATAAACCTAAAGTTCTAAGAAAGAAAATATTGCAAGATGTAAATAGAATTCTATTAAAAAAAATGAAGAATTGTAGATTTTATGTCAGAATTTTAAGTAAAAATTCAGTAAAAAAAGATGTCTCAAGAAAATTGAGAATTCCGAGGGAAAATAAAAAAACTGAAAATGAAGCATTAAAATTACAAGAAAAAGATTATATCACAATTATGAGATGTGAACTCACATAAACATATGAATAAACATCACAATGAAATAATACATCATATGAAATAAACATCACAAAACTCCTTTATTCAATCTTTTTAGGGTAGACTTGAATGAAGTATCAGACCCTTTATTTACCAAAAGAGTAGGTCTTGTGTATCTAGAAAACGTATTCTGTTAAACTGGAAAAAGGAACGCCCTCCAACATTTAAATTATTTAAAAACATTATAAATGACACTCTGTGGCGTCACCGTGGCGCAGTGGGTAGCACAATCGCATCACAGCAAGAAGGTTGCTGGTTCGAGCCTCGGCTGGGTCAGTTGGCATTTCTTTGTGGAGTTTGCATGTTCTTCCCGTGTTGGTGTTGGTTTCCTCCGGGTGCTCGGGAGTCCAAAGATATGCTGTACAGGTGAATTGGGTAAGCTAAATTGGCTGTAGTGTATGTTTCCTAGTGTTGGGTTGTGGCTGGAAGGGCATCCCTTGCGTAAAACGTGCTGGATAAGTTGCCGGTTCATTCCGCTGTGGTGACCTCTGATTAATAAAGGGACTAAGCTGAAGGGAAATAATAAATGTGAAAAATCAGACTCTTGATCGTGAGCTTTTGTCTCCTTCACTCACCCTCTCCAGCAGTTTGCTCTTCATGAAGGGCTTCACCACGTTGTAGGTGGTCGTGAAGTACCAGGGCTGGTGGATCACATGCACAGCCTTAAACCGGGCAGGAAAAGAGTCCTGAATCACACAGACAACACAAGCTTTATGTGCGAGAGAGTCAGGAATTCATCTTCTTATTAGGGGTTTTAACAATTTGGGTTTCACAAAACGTCATTAGTTTAATACATGACGATGAGAAATGAGATTATAAGTGTAAAAGGTGTACTTTAATTTTGAATGGTGACACCCACAGACATGGTCACCAAATATAAATCTGAGGTAAGACTTTCTCATTTCAGTTGTCAAGGGTTTTACAAATCAATCTATTGAAGTAATCAATTAATTGCTCGTCATTTTTTGTTACATTTAAGTAGTTATTTTTAAAAAGCTTTTTTTTTTATTATTAATTTTGAGCTTAAAATCATTGGCTATAGACAAATGACCAGTTTGTAAACATTCAGGATGCGCGCACAGCGAGATTGCAGATTAAAACTGAGAGCGCTAACATTTACAGAGAGGGAATGACATCCGATGCGGTACAGAGTTTGCTGTTGTATTAGAGATAAGTTATTATGATTACATAGTGTGTGTGTATATATATATATATATATATATATATATATATATATATATATATATATATATTATTTACATAAGGCTTTCAGCGTATTATAACAGCTTGTCACACAGTGATAAGCAGAGTTATTCAGCAAAATTAATGTTAAAGTGAGCGGCGTTCGTCTGACAGGTCCATTTGCGATAGCACCCTCCAGATGGATATTGGATAAGAAGAAATGGCCAAGCATCCAGGCCCAAATACACAACTATCTCACTGAAACTCCAAGGGATTTTACAAGAGAGAAGTTAAAGGCCTACAAGTCTATGAATGCCAACAATGTTGTTCTGTGTGGTCATGTGCAGGAAATAATGATCCAACAGTTTCAAAATTTTGTAGTGCTAAAAACCGAGGTTCTGTCTAGCCAAAGACCAGGAAAGAAGACGGAGCTATACAAGGCCTGGGTAATTAATCATCAGCAAGCAAAACAACTGCCTTCTGACAGCGAACTGCACCTGTACTGCAGGGTATGTAAACTTACATTCTTACATTTCATTCTGAGCATTCAGTATCTGCAGTTTAATTCAACATATTGAACTGTTTTTGCTGAAACCATTGGTGCAATCAAAAACAAGTAATGTGTATGATCCAGCATAACATGAACTTACCTGATATAACATGAGAACTGCAGAGTCGAGCATTTTTAATCAGGTCCTCACTCCATTCAGCTCTTATGATGGCTGCTAGCTAAAGACGTCTGCGGTTGGCATTAAAAGCAGTGTGGTGTACGTTAAAATTTAAGTTTTGTATTTTTAGCATCCTATACCACATGTTTGCTATTGTGACCGATCTTTAATGCAACTGGAATGCGTGGTTGAACCTGTGTGATGTAGGTTGGTAATTCCTCTATACTTATGCATTACAGGCTTACATTATAGAGAGAAATGACAGAGGAACCGAGACTGCAGTCAGAACATGATGCAGATCAAGAAATGAACAAAAACAATAAGCCCAATACAAAATTTCATAATACTGAAATATAGAATAAATATCAGATGGTAATTTCGGTTTATTTTCCTAATGAATAAACAGCTCTCGTTAATATTTTAGCAAGCTTTCACTTTCGTATCTAATATGAAACGTACATTTACCGTTAATGAAATATTAATTCTCTCTTCATATAGCCATATGATTATTATTATTGTGATATAGACCGGTTTGTTAGTTTGATGGATTGTTTTGCTTTCTTACTACAATCGATCCGCTCCAGAGCTCGTTCCAATCGAGGCGAGACCTCATTCAGGCCATCTCGGACCGATTGTTTTGGCGCAGATCAGAGCATGATTGCTGGAATCACATACACCAAATGAACCGAGCTTATGGGGCAAACGCACCATGTTCCAAAACAAACGTCTAGGTGTGAAAGCACCCTAAACATGCGCAGCCTTGTTTGATGTTTGACACTATGTTTTTACTTAAACAATTTTTTTAAAACAGCTTTTTTTTTGCTCATTTTATAGTTGACCAGTTGAGTTTTACCATTTTTGAATCCTTTCAGCCAATATCCGGATCTGGCAGAAGCACTTTTAGCTTAGCTTAGCATGAATCATTGAGTTGGATTAGACCAGTGGTTCTTAAACTGTGGTATATGTACCAGTAGTGGTACGCAGGCTTTCTTCTAGTGGTATGCGGAGGAATCGCTGAATAATAAAAGAAAATGAACACACTTTGAACCATTTGACGCAAACGATAACACGTTACATACAGCAGTTTTCTTTTTACTTTTGAAAAACAGTACCATTTTTAATCAACTTTTAAAATCTCATTTTAATTTAAATGTTACATTTTTTTGTTTGTTTTTTTGCTTTTATCTGTAATCACAGGACTGTTAATGTACTATTTTTAATGTTTTAAGTGGATGATGACAATAATAAATATTTTAGTTAAGAATTAATCTGCATTTTTTTGCCTACTACGCTGCTGTATTTCAATACTGGAATACTGGTCATTATGGTGGTACATGGAGAGACATTTTTTTCTGAGGTGTTACTTGGTGAAAAAAGTTTGAGAACCACTCAATTAGACCATTAGCATTTTACTCAAAAAATGTAAAAAAAAAATAAAAATAAATAAAATAAAAATAGAAAAGTCCTATTTAAAGCTTGAATCTTCTGTAGTTACATTGTGTACTAAGACTGATAAAAAAATGAAAGGTTCCTATGCCTAGTTCTAGTTCCTATTTTCTATATATCTCATTCTGGCGTAATATTTAAGCAATTTTGCTGCCGTACACCTTGTGTATACGTTTGTTGTGTATACACACCATCTAGTGGTGAAAATCACATATCTTTAAGACTATTAAAACACCCCAAAGAATTGATTTTGATTTCATGGGAACTATTGAAAGCTCTCACCTGTAACATGTCCACCATCTTCTTCAGCTCGGTGTGTTTGATTCCAGATGCGTGCTGCATTGTGAAGCCCTTGAAGTTCTCAATGAGGACGAAGCCGTTGATTTGGGTCTCTTCGTTTTCTAGAAGTTTCTCAAGGATTACACAGTAGGCACGCAGGGTCTGTGACAGGGTTGAGACAGGGTTATCATGAAAAAGATTTATGCCACTTGTATTAAAATGTAATCTGACAACAATAATAAATTCACTGACAGAATGTAAACATAAATTAAATTAAAATGAAATTAATAAGTAGTAAAAATTGTTTTGGTAATGCTTTAATTTAAAATATGACCGTTTGCTTCCATGATTGGAGTCGTGGTCCTTATGTTGACGTCAACCCGAGGGCTTCCATAGCAACTGTATTTTAATATATTTAACCATGCCTCTCTCACCGTTAGTTTGCTATGAGAAAATGATGCGCAAAAGAAAGCCCCACACCTCCTACTCAAGGAATTTTTCACAGTATTTCCAATGATATTTCTTCTTCTGAAGAAAGTCTTATTTGTTTTATTTACTAAAAGCAGTTTCAAATTTTTATTAAACCATTTTAATGTCAATATTATTAGCCCTATATATATATATATATATATATATATATACACAAGCAATATTTTATTTCGATTGTCTACAAAGCAAACTATCGTTATACACTAACTTCCCCAATTACCCTACCAGACATTGAGGAACAAATATACAGGGGGGCTAATAATTCTGACTTCAACTGTATGGCAACATATTGAAGTCTCTGCAACTTCCGATTCACCCAGACTTTCACAGTTCAAAAAGAATGGCTAGTGTATGTGTAAATGTGGTTGTATAAATCCTCAGCCGTGCCTCATCAAAGGTGACCTCCTCCAGGTCCCAGTTGTCGATGTTGAAGAGCAGCACCACTCGGCCGTTCTTGTCTCTGGTGGAGAGGATTCGTGGGTAACCGGCTTCAATAGTGCTGCGTACGGCCTCCGGGGTTAAATTCTCAAACAGCTCAGGATAGTCTCGCCGAAAACGCACATATCCTGACAAAAATGAATGAGTAAGAGTGTGAAAAACTGTAGACTATACTCATGATCTGTAGAATGTAAAGCAAGATTTGCTCTTGACATTTGTGGGGACATACATCCTGGACAGCAAAAATTGTTTTGCGCTTTTAAAAAAACATGAAATAAGTACTAAAGTGTTTATTTTATATTATTATTACAAATAACAATCACGTCCCATGCTGCAAAAGTCAGTTTACTTGGCTTTACTGCTGACAGGCTTTGAGGAGCTATGAATGTAAAGAAATTTAGATGGTCATTTATTTATTTGTTCATTTTCTTCTGATTTTTCTGGGGCCAGGTCACGTGGGCAGCAGTCTTAGGAGAGAACTCCAGACTTCCCTTTCCCCAGACACTTCCTCCAGCTTCTCTGGGGGGGATCCCAAAGTGTTCCCAGGCCAGCCGAGACACTTAGTTCCCTCCAGTGTGTCCTGGGTCTTCCCTGAGGCCTCCTCATGGTGGGACATGCCTGGAACACCTCCCTAGGTTGGCGTCCAGGAGGCATCCGAAACAGATGCCCGAGCCACCTCTACTGACTTCTCTCGATGTGGAGGAGCAGCGGCTCTACTCCGAGCTCCTCCAGGGTGACAGATCTCCTCATCCTATCTATCTCAAAGCTCATGACCAAAGGTGAGAGTAGGAACGTTGATTTATTGGTAAATCGAAAGCTTTGCCTTTCAGCTCAGCTCCTTCTTTACCACAACAGACTGGTACATCGACCACATTACTGCTGCTGCTGCACCAATCTGCCTGTCAATCTCACGCTCCATCCTTCCCTCACTTGTGAACAAAATCCCAAGATACTTGATGTCCTCCACCTGGGGGAAAGACTTTCCTCTAACCTGGAGATATTAATCTTTTTCCGGGGGAACACCATGGCCTCGGACTTGGAGGTGCTGATTCTCATCTCATTCGGAACACACTCGGCAGCAAACCGCCCCAGTGCATGCTGAAGCTCCATGTTTGATGAAGCCAACAGAACCACATCATCTGCGAATAACAGAAATGAGATCCTGTGGTCCCCGAACCGGACCCCCTCCAACCCAAGGCTGCGCTTTGAAAATCTGTCCATAAAAATTCCAGATTCCAATTCTCGAATTCCCTTTAGAAAGATGTGTGACGCAATTTAACAGTTTTATCCTGATTATTGTTTCTTATAATCCTGGAGGCCAAAATCTAAACCGTATTTTGCTTAATTGCACAGCCTTGCTTGATAGTATTACGTTGAACTCGTATCGAACTTGACTTTCAGACTGTGCACGTGTTACTAAGGGTTGCTTGAGCATTAGTTTATTTTGAAGTCGATTCAATTATTGGTAGGGACATTTCAGTAATTGGTAGATATTGGTGGGTACACATCCCCCCCATCCATTTCAACTCTACCAAAGTATCTGGATTCAGCCTTTATGATGCAAGCTGAGATTGTCTGACAGTGTCAGACACAATGCACTCAAATGAAGCGAGTGACATCACTGTGATGGGTAGGGTTGGGAGGGGGGTTAGGTGAGCCCATTAAAAAGCAATGGATGCAGCTCAGATTGCACTGCACCTCTGCACCCAGACCCCTCTCAATTCTACGCCCTTGAGGTAAAGGAAAATGTCAATTATACTGCAAGAAATGCTTTTCTTACTTTTCTTATGATTTTTTGCCTTATTAAAAAAAAAAAATCTTAAATCTCGAAGCATTTTCTAGACGAGCAAAAGTTGTTTTGAGAAATAATATGCCAAAACTAAGCAACTTTTTCCCCCTACAACAAGCAAAATAATCATACGTCAAAAGGAAAAACAAGACTATTTTGCTTACCCCGTTGGCAGATTATTTAACTTGTTTTAAGGTAAAACTTAAGGTAAAACTAAATTTTTGGCGTATTATTTCTAATAACGAGACAATATTTTTTGCCTCTCTATAAAATGCTTCTTGATTTACAGATTTTTTTATATTTGTACTATCAATAAACATACAATCAACGTAAGAAAATCATTTATTTTCAGTGTAATGAGACCTCTTGACTTTCAGAAGAGCATTTAATATGTCAGTAAATTTGCCATAAGATCAAAGTCAAATATTACAGACATCAGATTCTTCAAAGACCAAATCATCTGAGCTGCCATAATAATACTTTTTTTCTGGTGGGGAGGTTTCAACTTTAATGGATAAGACAGTATATAGAGAAAACAATAAAGCATTAGGAGCAGAGAGAAGGGAAACGGATCAGCAAATGACCACATCGATGCTCAAATTCAGGGGTTTACAACTCCATTTAGCTCAGCGGCCACATGGAGGAAAAATCTATTTTCAAATGGGCCGGACTAGTAAAATCACGGTGTATATATAACTTAAAATCTACAACTTCAGATTGTTTTCTTTGTTTTAATATGATTAACATAAAGCTGGAGCTTGAGGACAACACAATCTCACGCAATTCATAACTTTTTGATTTAGTGGCTAATTCATATGAATTCCTACAATCTCATTCGTACATTTTACTATTATTTACTTATCCACTAATGATGGTTGGGTTTAGGGGTGTGGTTGGGTGCCACGCCTCCGTTTCCTCTTGAGAACACCTCAGTGTTGTATGGCAGGGCATAGATGTGGTCTTTCTCTCTCATAGATATATACACTAGATATCGCATAGGGACTCTGAGCATGCGTCAATAGCGCCGCCACATTGGTACAGTGCTCCCAGGACAAATGTCATTCAACCGCACTAGTCAAGACAGTGTTATTACATGAAGATGCGGGACTTTAGCGCTGTCTACGGGTGTAGTAACGAAAAAACAAAGCACAAAGGCAGAACATTTCATAGGTAAGACTAAGTTTTTTTCTGTTTTTGAATGTTCTGAACTTTTGTGCTAATCAGGTAACGTTATTGATGATAACAGTCACTTACTGCATTCACCATATGGCAAAGTAGCTCCAACTCGCACTAAACACTCGGCTTATGCTGGTTTTGTTGAATAAAATCAGCAAACAATGCAAAAGAAATATGACAACGAGATGCTGCGCTGCCAGAAACTTGTATTATTGTCGGCTAACGTTAGTGAAAGAGTCGTTCGGGGGATTCATTCACAAACGAATCGCTCCCTCCGTCAGTATGAGAAGTGAAAGCAGGAGAGGAGCTGTGTTTCAGGACATGATTAGATCAAATTTAACAGGGAGGGTGAATAGTACATTTCTGTACACACAAACACAGCTTTTTGTCAGGAATGCCCGTGCGATCACTGATCCATCAATGTAGAAAAGTGATGTAAATTTATAAGTTTCGTAATTAGAAAAAAAAATTACATCCTAACATCCAGGAAAACTCCCAATCATAGATATATGTGTATATCTCTGGCTTTAGATGGCCACAGTCCTCCACTGTACCTTGGTTCCGCATTAATTTAAAAGGAGCACTACCCTGTAGCAAGATGGCGGCGCTATTGACGCATTCCGTCCAATAGACAACAATAGGCCAGGCGACATCTAATGTATATATCTATGTTTCTCTCTGAGCAGGCTGTCACACTGATGCTGATTCAGGCATATGGATTGAATGAAATTACCAGTTTGCAATAGCATCATTCAGTGGACACAATTGGAACAGCAGTTTCTTTTATCCTTTACAGAATCATCTCGCGGGCTGGATTAAACCCATTTTCGGGCCTGATCTGGCCTGCGGGCTGTATGTTTGACATCCCTGAACTCGAGTCACCTTGAGCACTTCTTATGTGTTGACACACTTCAATCCAATACATCTTCATTCTATAGTGCTTACACAATGTGGATTGTGTCAAAGCAGCTTAACATAGATGAAGTTCTAGTAAATTAAAACTGCTTCAGCTCCGTTTTCACAGCTGAAGTTCAGTTTAGTTCAGTGCAGTGTGATGTAAAGGTCACTGCTGAAAGCCAAAACACTGAAGAGCAACTCCATCAATGTGTAGCTCCGCAATTCCCAAATCATGCAAGCCTGTGGCGACAGTGGCGAGGAACAAAATTCACCAATTGAGGAAAATGAAGGAAAAAAACAGACTCAGATAGACTATAAAATTTAACCAATAGGTTATTAACAATGACATAATTTACATAAAATATACTTTATAGATCTGTAAATCCTCGGTCATGTTTATTAGACGAAATGTTGATGACATTTGAAAATAACAGTCTATGTCAGGTCTATTCAATTAATTTGTCATGGGGGCCAGTTCATGAAAAGCATCCTAAATAAGGGGCCGGAGAGATATGACTTGCAATATGAGTGATGACACAACAGTATATAAGAGCCCATATGTTGTATTTTTGCTCCTTAAGACACCCACGTTAGCTTTTTCTACATTAAAATGTTAATATGTTGTATTTTGAAACAACATAATATCAGTGCATTTTACAATAGACTTTTTATTTATTTATTTATTTATTTATTTGTTTATTTATTTATTTATTTATTTATTTATTTATTTATTTATTTATTTATTTATTTATTTATTTATTTATTTTTTACAAACATTCAAATGTTGTATTGCAGAGCACAACAAAAGCAGTGCATTGCTGAAGTAGCCTTCTTCTACGTTCAGACAAATTCATGTTCATATGTTATGTTTTGAACTGCATAACAATTAGGGAGCAACAATTATAGATTTTGGTTGTACGATTAAATAGTCTGATAAATAATCATGGCTTCACGGTTGTCACGTCTAAAGTAAATTTAAGCTTTATATTAGGTAAGTGTTTAAATGAACTGTTGTTGTCATCTGCGTTCATACATACATAATCAATTTAGCAATTCGTAACAATTCATCTATTATATCTTTTGTTTACATTACACTGAAAGCCATGCACAACTCTCACCGCTACGGCGTAAGACGTTTTCTACTGAGTGTGTCTGTACTTGCACGCAGAAAAGACGTAATAGGTAAATGAGAATGTCAATCAAAGTGTTTCTGCAGACTGTTTTTATCAAGTGGGATCATGAGAAATAGAATTAATTCATTTTTACCATTAGAGGCTGGCTATATGCACACACTGTTGCCACACAACTCAAATCCCTTATAAAAGTAATTTTTGCATAATAGGTGCCCTTTAATTTGTCTTTTACACTCACCGGCCATTTTATTAGGTACACCTTACTAGTTCCGGGTTGGACCCTTTTTTGCCTTCAGAACTACCTTAATCCTTCATGGCATAGGTTCAACAAGGTACTGGAAATATTCCTCAGAGATTTTGGTCTATATGATAGTATCTCGCAGTTGCTGCAGATTTTTCGGCTGCACATCCATGATGCTAATCTCCTGTTTCACCACTTCCCAAAGGTGCTCTACTGGATTGAGATCTGCTGACTGTGGAGGCCATTTTAGTACAGTGAACTCATTGTCATGATAAGAAACCAGCCTAAGATGATTCGCATTTTATGACATGGTGCGTTATCCTGCTGGAAGTCATCAGACCTCGGTTGTAACAAGTGGTTACTTGAGTTAATGTTGCCTTTTTATCAGCTGGAACCAGTCTGGCCATTCTCCTCTGACCTCTGGCATCAACAAGGCATTTACGCCCAGGTGTACCTAATAAAGTGGCCGGTGCGTGTATATAAGCAGTGTTATAAACTACGTTTGATCAGTAATGTTTACCACTACATTCGTGAGCATGAGCTTTTTAACTGAAATAATAATAATAGTAATAAAAACTGAGTAATATTTTTTAGTCCGTCTCTGCATATTTTGCAGCATTATTGCAGAATTATGGCCCAGTTCTCATGCAGTGAGATGTTCAGTCATGTGTGTGAGTGTTTGCCATGTTTCTGTAGTCTCTCTGTGTGTGTGTGTGTATTAGAAATGTCAGCTAGTGTGAAACACATAGATGATCAAAGGCCAGTCTGTCTGTCTGTTCTCTGAGAAACACAACCTGCCCTATTTGTGCACAAAGGCTCTCTTTGAAAGTTTTGCGAACGCCCCAATTAAAGCAAAGAATTTCCCCCGTCCTGTGTCCGAGGACGCACAGATGAGGACAAAGGCACGTTTAGATGGACACAATCGCACAGTCTGGCAGGGGAACAATAGAGAAAATGTGTGAATGCATGAAATGAAACACTTCACCTTTCATGAGCTCGTGTGCTCTGGCCACGTCAAACTTGCGCGCACGTATGAATCTCAGGAGTAGAGAGTCAGGCTCCTTGCTGAATTTGTCTTGCACAGTTTTGGCCACCTCATCTCCTTGGCCTGCCTTGTCTTTAATCATGGCTCTGAGTTCCTTTATAGCAGACGCTCTCTTCTCATCTGTTTCGTTCAGCTCATCTTTAGCCTTTAAGATAGGAAGATCAATTTCATTTAAAGCACAACTAAAATATAATTTTTTCTAAATTTTTGGCTATATGTAAGAATACTTTTTTTGCAGATAAATAATTTCTAGTATCTTAAACGGTACATTACAGTAGGCAAAATAAGTATTTATCAGAAAACATATTTCTAAAGGTGCTGTTGACTTGACATTTTCACCCCATGTTGATCACAACCAAAATAAATCCATACATGCAAAGAAAACAAATCTAATTAGTTTACAAATTAAGTTATGTGTATTAAAATGAAATGACACAGGGAAAAAGTATTGAACACATGAAGAAGGGAGCGGTAGAAAGGCAGTGAAAGCAGCTGAAATCTCTAGCCTGATCTCACGAGGAGTATTTTACAGTATGTTTCGTCAGTTTAGAGACTAATTCGAACAAATTCGTACGAGTTCAGTCGTACGAAAATATATGATTTTAAAAAGGAGGCGTGGCACCCAACCCCACCCCTAACCCCAACCGTCATTGGGTGATGAGCTAATCCTACTAAATTGTAAGAATTAGATCGTTTCTTGTGACTAAATGAAAAACGAAAAAACGACTTTTAAACGTTTACTTTATTTTCCTTTTTTTTGTTTGTTTGAAAACGGATATGAATTAGACGGAAGAGACCCTGATTAGTAATAAAAATTATGGCTCCATTTTCATTTTCATAATATATAATCAATAGGAGGAAATAAAATAATTTTTAAAATAGTACACTTTGTTGTAGCAACTGAGCCCAATGTGTTTTTATTCTGGTCCTGCTAAAACTATTTAAAAAAAACTAAACAATAAAAAAACAGTAAGTAAACAATATTATTATTATTAATAATAATAATAATAATAATAATAATAATAATTATTATTATTATTATTATTATTATTATTATTATTATTATTATTATTATTATTATTATTATTTAGGCCTACAGTAGCACGGAAACAATCATGCAAACCAGATGCTGCTCGCAAATGGCTGTCTTTGCTCAGCATCAGGTGCACAACAGTAAGATGTTTGGTAGCGAACTAGGCATTTATTATTATTAAGATTATTATTATGATTTTTATTATTATTATTATTACTAACATCATTATTAATATATAGGCCTTGCTCGGAAATAATCATGCAAACTAGGTGCTGCTCGGAAATGGCTATCAATGCTCAACATCAGGTGCACAGCAGCAGGACGTTTGTCAGCAAACTGACCTTATTTAATGACAAATGTCTAATAATACTGCTAATTTACATTTTTATTTAATTTATGCATACGCAGTGAATGTAAGCCTGCTAACTGATCAAATGACAGAATATGTAAACTTAGTTTATAAAAATTGGCCGTTTTCCTCATTTTCCTTTTATTGTTTGGTTTGAAAACAGATATGGATTGGACGGAAGATACCCTGATTTACTCTGACCCTAGACAACTATTCATTTCTAAGTCAGCAGCTCCCTCTTCTTATCAGCAGTGCGTTTTTGATTTCTTACAAGCTCTTCAACTGGAAAAGATTCAGTTCGCAATAAAACAAAAGCCATAACAGTTCCAGAAAGTCTGGAGCCCTTTTCCAAATTTCTTTGAGGAGACACCTATATCTTAATTGCCCTTTTTTTCTTTGTATTATTTATTTATTTATTCTTTTGTTTGTTCTTCATTATTCTTATTTTTGTTATCTTATGTTTGTATATGTTTGTGTAAATATGTGGTATTTTACCTTTTATTTAAATACTTATTGAGTGTATAATTATGTTTTTCTGATCATTTCTTGTTTGGTGAATTGTATCTGCATATATCTAATGTATCAATATTATGTATATTTTATAGCCTGATCTAGATGAACCTAATAAAAAAAAAAAAAAAAAATTTAAATGGTAAAACTGTTTAACTTGGTTAAGTAACTATCGGTTTAATCAGGGGTGTCCAAACTCTGTCCTGGAGGGCCGGTGTCCTGCAGATTTTAGCTCCAGATTTTTTGCCTCAACACACCTGCAAGGATGTTTCTAGATAGCCTAGTAAGAGCTTGATTAGCTAGCCCAGGTGTGTCTGATTGGGGTTGGAACTAAACTTTGCAGGACTGAGTTTGGACATGCCTTGGTTAAAGTAATCCGTTATCGGCAAATATGGTCCAACCTAGCTATCAGTATCGGTAAAATCCAACATCGATAATCCAAAGACGTTATTGCTGTTTAATTCACAATTCCTAGCAATTCTTTGCAATAAACAGTGAAATTTATTAGCAATGTCTGAGTGAATGTTATTTTTACACCATTTTGGGCTGTATTGCAGCATATGGTGCATCGATACCTTCTGTTTTGTATGATCCGGCAGTCTCATACAAGGTCCATACACTGGCCCGTGGTCTTTCACAGTCAGATGTTCAAGCTTAGCCCGTAATGCCTGCTCCTCCTCGGACACCATACGAAAACTTCCAGTCTGAGGGGATTAAAAAATGGGGAAAGAAAGCATTATAGTACATGCAGCGCTTCAACGAGCCGCAGACAAAAGGGTTTAAGGAGAACTAATCTCATGTCTACACGACTACAAGAGACCCCCTACTTTCAGACTATTTGATAATCTCCAGCACATGACCCACCAAAACACCTTGAGAAACCAGAGATTAGTTCATCCCACTGAGTGCATTTAACAACAGGGCTTAATGAACTCTTTTAAGTGCCTATTATGGAAGAGGAGGAGTACTTACAGCAGCCATAGTGCTCAGATTCTCCACGGGCTGAATGGAAACTGTAAAATAAGAAATCGTAATTCACTTAGTCCCTTATTTATATCAGGGGTCACCACAGCGGAATGAACCGTCAACTATTCCAGCATATGTTTTACGCAGCGGATGCCTTTCCTGCCATAACCCAGTACTGAGAAACACCCACACCCACACTCGTACACTACAGCCAATTTAGTTCATCCAATTCACCTAAAGGATATGTCTTTGGACTGTGGGGAAAAGCAGAGCACCCACACGGGAAGAACATGCAAACTCCACACAGAAACACAAACTGGTGCAGAAACTGGAACCAGTAACCTTCTTGCTGTGAGGCAACAGTGCTAACCACTGAGCCGCCATGCCACCCTTAGTAACCCTTAGTTAGATTTTCTTTAAAATTATTGGTATTTTTAAAAATCACATGACGTAAACAGAAACACAGAACATTCCTGAATTCGCCGAGGCGTTATACTGAAAACTAAATGTGTCATTTGTTTACAGATGGAAAAACATCAATCATTTTGAGCTGCGATTGCAAATTCACACATTAAATTGCATCATGTTCTCATATCACTTCAACTCCGGGTTAATATTGAAAGATTTTTAGATTATTATTAAACATGGACACTAATAATTAATTGAGGGAAGAGATTAAATAATTAGTTGCGAATGTAAATGATCCTATAAAATTATCACCTTCTCATATTAATTCATTTTGTTAATTCATTTTCTTTTCGCCTTAGTCCCTTTATTAATCAGAGGTCGCCACAGTGGAATGAATCGCCAACTTAGGATTCCCTTCCAGCTGCAACTAAAATACTGGTAAACATCCATACATACACACACTCACACTACGGTCAATTTAAGCTCACCCAATTCACCTATAGCGCATGTGTTTGGACTTTGGGGGAAACCAGAGCACCAGGATGAAACCCATGCGAACAAGGGGAGAACATGCAAACTCCACACGGAAATGCCAACTGACCCAGCTGAGCCTCGAACCAGCAACCTTCTTGCTGTGAGGCGATGTAAATATAACTCCGTGTAAATATTTAAAGAATTTTAGATTATTAGACACTGTTAATAACTAACTGCTGAAAGAAATAAAACAATTAGAACAGCAAAGGTAAGTTGTCATATTAAATTGCACGATAGTATTAATATTATTAGAGGCTGCAGATGAAAATGTGAATAAATCTTGATACTTGCTTGACAGACTTTAAAAAGCCTTCAAGTTTGAACATTTACTATATAGATAGATAGATAGATAGATAGATAGATAGATAGATAGATAGATAGATAGATAGATAGATAGATAGATAGATAGATAGATAGATAGATAGATAGATAGATAGATAAGGGCATAACACCTGTGATATTGCTTTCAATTTTAATGGTTAATAATTCAATTAATACTGCAGATAAAAGCTTGTTGTAAGCATCAGCCAATAAACTCTAAATCCAGTCTTATCCTGTGAGCTCAGACACGGAGCAAAGCGTACAGTTTTAATAAGACTAAGAGTGTGTGACTTACCTCAGCCGAAGGAGATCCAGGAGTGACTGAGGGCTCAGAGAGAGAGAGAGAGAGAGAGAGAGAGAGAGATGAGATGTGGAGTGCAGTTGATTACTGTCAGATTAACCTGTCACAGCCCATAACTCCCAGCAGAATCATCTCATCTACACCACAGACATGCAGGAGGAGGAGCTAAAGCACAAACGCAGCAGGAGGACAAATATATGTACACTCACCGGCCACTTTATTAGGTCAACTGCTTGTTTAAGACAAATTTCTAATCAGCCAATCACATGGCTACTATTCAATGCATTTAGGCATGTAGACATGGTCAAAAGGAGAAAATATCCAGTGAGCGGCAGTTCTGTGGGCGCAAATGCCTTGTTGATGGCAGAGGTAAGAGGAGAATGGCCAGACTGGTTACAGCTGATAGAAAGGCGACAGTAACTCAAATAAGCATTTGTTACAAACAAGGTGTGCAGAAGAGCATCGAATAAACAACATTTGCAACCTTGAGGCAGATGAGCTACAGCAGAAGAAGACCACACCGGGTGCCACTCCAGTCTGTTAAGAACAGGAAACTGAGGCTATAATTCACACAGGCTCACCAAAATTGGACAAGAGAAGATTGGAAAAATGTTGCCTGGTTTGATGAGTCTCCACTTCTGCTGCAACATTCAGATGGTAGGGGCAGAATTTGCTGTCAACAGCATGAAAGCATGGATCCATCCTGCCTTGTATCTACAGTTCAGGCTGGTGGTGTTGTAATGGTGTGGGGGATATTTTCTTGGCACACTTTGGGTCCATTAGTACCAATTGAGCATCGTGTCAACGCCACAGCCTACCTGAGTATTGTTGCTGACCATGTCCATCCCTTATTGACCACAGTGTACCCATCTTCTGATGGCTACTTCCAGCAGGATAACGCACCATCACATAAAGCTCAAATCATCTCAGACTGGTTTCTTGAACATGACAATGAGTTCACTGTACTCAAATGGCCTCCACAGTCACCAGATCAGGTGTGAATGTGAGAGTGTGTGGGTGTTTCCCAGTGCTGGGTTGTGGCTGGAAAGGCATACACTGTGTAAAACATATACGGGAATAGTTGGCAGTTCATTCCGCTGTGGCGACCCCTCATAAATAAGGAAAACAAATGGATGAATGATCATCACATAATAAACGGCAATAATCTTGTAATCTGAAATAAATGTTCATATTTGTGTGAACTATCCCTACAAGCTGATCACAGTGGCATGATGAAGGTATAACAGTGATTACATACTGCCGAAATACTAAGTTAGAAAATCATTTTGTAGTGTCGCTAGAGAGTCTTCTGCATGTCTTGCTGGTATAAATAAGATGAAGTCATTTGTTCTAGTGACCTCTTGAATTACATAAGCTCATTATACAAAAGCTCCAGTCCACTGAATGAAGATCAGTGCCATTCTCTGTCATGCTCCAGTTATGATGCTCATGTCATGTCATTAGCTGTTTGCTGCTCTCATATGTTGTATGATTGGTTGTTTACTTTTCTCATGTGTCATATAATTGGCTGTTTACTGCTCTCATATGTCGTGTGATTGGCTGTCTGGTTGTTTACTTTTCTCATGTGTCGTTTGACTGGCTGTTTAGTTTTCTTGATTGGCTAATTGCTGCTCTCGTGTGATAGGCTGTTTACTTTTCTAATATGTTTTGTGATTGGCTGTTTTCAGCACTCATGTGTCATGATTGGCTGTTTGCTATTCTCATGTGCCACATGATTGGCTGTTTACTTTTCTCAGGTGTTGTGTAATTGGAGGCTTGTATTTCTTATGTGTCGTGTGATTGGCTGTTTACTTTTCTCATGTGTCATGTGATTGACTGTTGGCTGCTTTCGTGTCGTGTGATTGGTTGTTTGCTGCTCTCATGCATCGTGTAATTGGCTGTTTGCAGCACTTGTTTCATGTGATTGGCTGTTTGCAGCACTCTTGTGTCATGACTGGCTCTTTACTATTCTCATGTGCCACATGATTGGCTGTTTACTTTTCTCATGTGTCATATAATTGCTGTTTACTTTCTAATGTGTCATGTGATTGGTTGTTTGCTGCTCTCATGCATCGTGTAATTGGCTGTTTGCAGCACTTGTTTCATGTGATTGGCTGTTTGCAGCACTCTTGTGTCATGACTGGCTCTTTACTATTCTCATGTGCCACATGATTGGCTGTTTACTTTTCTCATGTGTCATATAATTGCTGTTTACTTTCTAATGTGTCATGTGATTGGTTGTTGGCTGCTCTCGTGTCATGTGATTGGCTGTTTGCAGCACTCTTGTGTCTTGTGATTGGCTGTTTGCTGCTCTCATGTGTCGTGTGATTGGATGCTTGCTTTTCTCATGTGTCGTTTGACTGGCTGTTTAGTTTTCTTGATTGGCTGTTTGCTGCTCTCGTGTGATAGGCTGTTTACTTTTCTCATATGTTTTGTGATTGGCTGTTTGCAGCACTCATGTGTCATGATTGGCTGTTTACTTTTCTCAGTTGTTGTGTAATTGGATGCTTGTATTTGTCATGTGTTGTGTGATTGGCTGTTTACTTTTCTCAAGTGTCATGTGATTAATTGTTGGCTGCTCTCGTGTCGTGTGATTGGTTGTTTGCTGCTCTCATGTATGGTGTAATTGGCTGTTTGCAGCACTTGTTTCATGTGATTGGCTGTTTGCAGCACTCTTGTGTCATGATTGGCTCTTTACTATTCTCATGTGCCACATGATTGGCTGTTTACTTTTCTCATGTGTTGTGTGATTGGCTGTTTACTTTTCTCATGTGTCATGTGATTGATTGTTGGCTGCTCTCGTGTCGTGTGATTGGCTGTTTGAAGCACTCTTGTGTCTTGTGATTGGCTGTTTGCTGCTCTCATGTGTCGTGTAATTGGATGTTTGCTTTTCTCATGTGTCGTGTGATTGGCTCTACTTTTCTCATGTGTCGTGTGATTGGATGCTTGCCTTTCTCATGTGTCGTGTGATTGGCTGTTTACTTTTTCCATGTGTCATGTGATTGGCTGTTTGCAACACTTGTGTCGTGATTGGCTGTTTGCAACAGTCATGTTTCGCGTGATTGGCTGTTTGCTGTTCTCATATGTCGTGTGATTGACTGTTGGCTGCTCTCGTGTCATGTGATTGGCTGTTTACTTTTCTCATGTGGTGTGTGATTGGCTGTTTGCAGCACTTGTGTCATCTGATTGGCTGTTTGCAGCTCTCATGTGTCGTGATTGGCTACTTGCTGTTGTTATTATAAGTCATGTGATTGGCTGTTTGCAGCACTCTTATGTCTTGTGATTGGCTGTTTGCTGCTCTCATGTGTTGTGTGATTGGCTGTTCACTTTTCTCATGTGTCCTGTTATTGGCTGTTTATTTTTCTCATGTCTCGTGTGATTGGATGATTGCTTTTCTCATGTGTCATGGGATTGGCTGTTTGCAGCACTCATGTTGTGATTGGCTGTTTACAGAACTTATGTGTCGTTATTGACTGTTTGCTGTTTTCAAATGTCGTGTCGTTGGCCGTTTACTTTTTTCATGTGTCAAATGATTGGCTGTTTGTTGCTTTTATGTGTCCAAGAATTGGCTGGGTTTTTTTTTTTTTTTGGAGGGGGGGTCAGGGGGAGTGTGTTTGTCTGAATAACAGAGTTGAGAACGAGGTTAGTAATTGTTCTGTGGTGTTAGTAACTGTACTATAAACTGGGTTTTGGGCGGCTGCTGCAATCGTATACTATACCAAAGTTGGCAACCTGGTACAGACTGTACCAAAAATCTGAGAACCGGGGCGGGGTGAAATTACGAGAGTTTTTCGGGAGAAATAACAAAACGGGAGGGTGGCAGGAGATGGTTCTGAAATACGGGAGACTCCTGGGAAAAACAGGTATGACTCAAACAGGTATGATCTGGGAAAAACAGGTATAACTCTAAACCTAAATCAAGCAAGCTCACAGATAAATGGTGACCTGAAAGACACTAATCCTGCAACCACTGAATGAGTTTCACAACATTATTCTGTAGCGCTTTTGGGTTTTACTCTTCATAATCCCCACTCTGTAGTCTTTATGAGCTTCCCTTAAGCAGTTTTTGTAATGAAAGTTTGTCTTACAAAAAATATCACCAAAAATATAAGCTGTAATCTCTAATGAAGCGATTTAGCTGCCATTTATTAAATACTGTGTCCCTCATGCCCTCGTTTCATTCATGATTACAGCTAAGGCTTCAGTGTGAATGGGGTTTTCTTGTTGAATTTAGGACAGGCGACAGGTCTGCACAGATGCCATCCATTCAGGCATACGAGCAGACAGCCGATAATGAGCAGTGGAGGAACAGCTCTGCTACGTGATCGACAAAAACCCTGCTGCTCTGCTGCACATTCACAAATGAGCAACCATTGTCTACACAACTGCACTACAGTTCACTCATTAGTGCTGGACTTCGTCTGTGTTTCCTTTTGCGAGTCTTTTCACAAGTACAGTGGCCCCCTAAACAAGAAGTGAACACTTAAAGGGACAGTTCACCCAATAATCACAATTTCCTCATCATTTACTCACACTTAACTAGTTTTCAACTTTTGTTTTTTTCGTCTGTCGAACACAAAATAAGATATGCTGAAGAATGTTGGAGAAAAGCAGACATTGATATCTAGAGTATTTCCCCCCAACAATGTCTTTTTTCGTGTTCAACAGAAAAAAAGAAACGTAACCACTTTAGAAGGAGTAAATGTGAACGACATTATTAATATTGGGTGAGCTGTCCCTTTAAATGTGGTTGAATTGCAGCCTTTTAGGGCCTCTGAGCAATTTTTTTGACTGACTTTTGGAAATGCATGCAGCTACCGAATTTTCCGTTTGTGTTAATCTGATGTTTATAAAGAGGTTATAAAAACAGCAGTTGCATTGTTTATTTTATATTTAGCCATTGAGCTATGTTTTTGTCAAAAGCGACTTACAATTGAGGAGGCAATCAGCGATTCAACAAGAGGCAATAAACATTAGAAGTGCTAATTATACAAAGGAACTGATA